TCCAATCTAGGCAATGCTGTGATTCTGTGAATACTTCATAAGTAATTTCTACTCTTGGCTTGTCCTAATGCAGAACAGGCTAGATCTTAAAAAAAAAAAAAAAAAAACATCAGTGCCTAAAAGCCAGGCTCTGCCATGATTACATCTGGGGCCTCTGGTCCCTAGAGGAGGGCCAGTCCAGGACACCAGGGCTTAGAGCCAGGTGGGTGTTCATGCTCCTCTAGCCATGCTGAGCAGTGAGCCTCCAATGCTGCTGCATACAACTGGTCAGCAAGGAAATGCTGAGGATGGTGATGAACCTTAAAACCTTCCCGAGGGCTATGGGAAAGGCTCAGATCTTCCAAAATAAAGGTGCTGGTACCATTTTTTTCACCAAACTGAGTGAGGTTTGCTCTCTTAAAAAAAAAAAAAAAAGCAAAGAGCAGAGGTGATGTCACTTTCTTTTCTGTAACAGCTAGATAGTTTCTTGGGAAGTGGGAGACTCAGGGGCCTTTGCCTTCTCTGCCTGAGGGGATTTGAATCCATGTTTTTTGCCTTCCAGGGGAATATGATCATGAACAGGCTGTGAAAGTATTCTGGAAAAAAGAGAGAAGGCAGCTTTCAGCTTTACTTTGAAGCTGTGCCTTCACATATACATTTGGTCAGTAGCTGTGAGGCCAGTGGCAGAACAGGAACAGGAGCATGCTTCTGGAACCAAGAGGTTATGTCAGGAGGTAAAGGATAAGGACCCCAAATGCTTCTAGCAGAGGAGTTTATTGAAATGAGTTGCCCACTACTGGGTGCTTTAATCACTACCCATCAATATAAAGGAGCTGGTGATCATTTATGATCCAGGTCTGTTTTAGGAGAACATGAGAGCTGCAGTTGCATCTTATGAGTTACCGAATCCTGCAGGTGGGTTTGCACTGGGGAAGCTGGTTGGAGTCCTGTGCTGGTGATGGGGAAACATTTCTGGCTCACAACTGCACTTAGCCTAAATGAGTGCTCTGTTGCCCACTTGTAAAGGCTGAGGCAGCTCTGGACACATCCAGAGATGCAGATCTAAGTGACTGGTAAATTAATAAGTGGAGAAAAAGGACCTTTTCTGGGTTAAATACTAATCAAGTACATGATTTTGGACTTAAGGGCCTACCTTCTGTCTAAGCTGCACTCTAGTGGTTAAATCTGTACTGGATCTGACCCTGAGTATTGCTGCTTTGCTTTCTTAGAAATCATTCAGTACTCAGCAAATCTATGATTATGCTCTTATTTGTCTGTGGTTGATAACCCAATTACAAAATTAACATTACCGTTTTATTTGTATTATAAAGAGCTGAGGAAATGACATGCCACATACAAGTTGTTTTTGGCTAGAGCACCTACTCCAAAAATGGCTAACTTTCAGAAATGGATTATGCAGTGTTTTTTCTATTTTGTCCCCTGGGGCTCAGCAGCGACTATCGTCTCATGAGTTTCTGACCTTAGCGCTACAGATGCCCTTTAGAAACTGTCAAAACCTGTCAGATTCTTCTTTTGAATATAAACCTTGGATATACACAGCAAAAAGAGAGAGAGAAAGCAAACAAAACAGAAAGGGTGTCCTATAGATAAATATAAGGTTATTAACAAGAACACCCTTAGGTAAAACTACTCCAGATAACTGCAGCCTTTAGCTTGCACTTTCCAGTCCTGGTTGGCTCATAGATTTGCTTCCCCCCACCCCTTCCCGCTAAGCCTTGTTAGCACCTGGATCTGCTTAATATGTTGTTGCAATGATAGAAACCAGAATATTTACAGCATCAAACCCACCCAGCTTCCAGGATGCAGAATATGGTCCTTCAGATGCATATATCACTGCAGAAAGCACATCCTTCTTCTGGAGCTCATTACCACAGCCTTAACCCTCACACAGTGTCGCTCTATCTTGGCTCCAAGCCATAGAAACGCATTTCTCTGACCACAGTCATGATGCACTGCCTTTTCTTTCTGCTTGAAACTTTTTCTTTCCATTTTCATACTGCCTCATTCCCTGATGAAATAACATACCTGTTCGAGAGTCCACAGAGAAATATGGTTGTCCTTGGAGAATACTGTATACTACTCTTGCGCTGTTCCCATAGGTTGGGTCATCAGCATCTGTCGCTGTCACCTGGATAACAGAGGTGCCTGACAAAAAAACCCATCAGGTAAGACCTTGTGGGATAAAGAACTGGCATGAAAAGTACACAGTTCAAAATAAATTGAAATGCCTAACAAGAGCTTTCCCACACTGAACTTCTTCATTTACTGCTCACAGTGTTGCACTTACTGCTCATACTTACATCTCATTAGCACTAAAAGAATTAATAGGCATAAATTCATCATGCATCTATAAGCAGATATAAAAGAGCAAGTACTCTATGGACCACAGTTACAGAATTGCTGATCTAACAGTACTTCGTTAGGGTTTGCAGAGAGCTGGTAGCTACATCCTGCTTGCTTCTTTTCTCCTTTTCTTGATTTTAAGTGTTTTAATTTAAAGGCAGCTCAAATAATATCTATAGCTATGCTGACATCAATCATGAACTGCTGTAGTGGGCCCATGGATGCTGTTTGTTGACCAAGGGATAGAAATTGTACACAAATAGTGAGTGTGAAGGGGTGTATCTCTGAGATAATCTCTCTGTGGGATTGCAGTTTACATTGCAAGGCCTAGAGATTATACCCTGCTGAAATGCCTTTTGGAACCCGCACAGATGCAGATATATTTATTTTCTTCATTTGGTTTTCAAGGTCTGTGTCCTCTGAAGCTAATAATGGCTTGCAGGTGATGTAATTTATCCAGAGCAAGGAGAAGGTAAGGCATAACTGTTTGAAATATATGTGAGTGTTGACTCCTTAAAGTGTCAGACAATGCCTTTATGGATGTATCTAGCCTTCTACATAGTGTTTTGTTTTAGAAACAGATCCAGTGTTACTAGATACGCACTGAAAAATAAATCTGAATTCAAGCTAGCCATTACCATTAAGAAACATTATTTCTGAATGGAACTTTTGTATCTGATGCTTTTCTCTAGCTTTATGTCAACATACTATTGAAGAATGAGAAGCTGAAGCATATCTGTAACTTCAGGACATGAGATTTATATGGTATTATTATCCCCATAATGACGTCACAGAGACAAAAAGCAATAAGCAACTCCACAAGAAAAAAAACAGTCCATAAAAATAGTATGTTATGTGGCTCTTGGATTTGTTACATGGCAATGGTTTCTCGTGACTTGTATAGGTGGGAAGGCTGCTGTTTGTCCTCTGCATTGCAATAACAGGACTGCCTTTGACATGTTCCCATTCTCTAAAAGTGGAGAGCAAACAGTACCAGAATCTTAGGATCCACTGAACTGGGTTTAGTGCAGGTTTACATGGATTAGAAGGGGCAAAACTGCTAATAATTGTCATATCTCTCTGATTTCAAGGGTTCCTGGACAGTATTTCAGCTCCCAGTATGAACTAGAATAGGATCCTAAAATTGTGTTGTGTTCTGGATGGTTGTCCAGAAACCATAGAAACCATAGAAATGGTTGTCTAATGGTCATTACTATCGCTACCATCCGATGGCAGGGGAGAAGGGGCATTGCATTACTGCAAGTTGACTGAGGATGGCATGTTTGAATTACATCTTTTTTCAGCTCTCTGGCTTCCCTTGGCATGTGTTCTTTCAGAGAGGCCCAGCTGACAGTGGTGTAAAGCCTGCTGTCCCTCTTCTGTGGCTGTCAGCACCCTGGGGGGAGCTCTCCTGTCCTGCAGCTCCTGCACAAGGGGCAAAAGCTGAGTCCAAGGAGTCAGGGATTTTATGTTTTGGTAACCATCACCAGTTTGCTTATGGGGGGAGGAGACTCCACAAAATCTGCCTTACCCACAGGTGACATTTCTGGAACAGAGGCTACGTAAGGTCCATCCAGGAACTTGGGTTCATTGTCATTGATGTCTTGGATTTTGATGATGAACTCCGACTCTGGTTCCATTGGCCGGCCCGTTCTCCTGTCCAGAGCCTGTGCTCGGAGGGTGTACTGCGACCTTTCTTCCCGGTCCAGTCTCTGAATGGCATGAATATCCCCTGTCGTATCATCAATTGTAAACACAATGCCAGCTCCCTCTCCTGAGAGGATGTATTTGATTGAACCATCTCCCCTGTCCATGTCAGAATGGAGCTGTGGAAAGGAACAGGATTCAATTAGACCGTGAGCTGGGCAAGCAGCTGCTGAGAAACACTAAGCACGTGAGCATCCTGAGCATTTTGGTCTCACCGTTGGGACTCACAGGCTGGGTTTAATGAATTTGTTTTGCTGAAAGAGGCAAATACTCACTAAAGTCAGTATCACAGAGTTGCGGTTAAAAAGCCTCTCCTGTCTTCCCATTTCTGCACTCACAGCTGTGCCAGAAGAAAAGGCACAGACGCTCAAACAGGAACAGGCTATGTACCTTTTTGAAATCACACTCAACACAATAATTATCTTTTGCCTGGTTGTAAATGGCCGTTGAGAAGGACTCACTGCCAGGCTTGGGGTAAGGTAAGGTCAGCAAAGCCGCAGACTGTGCTTGCTCACATGGCTTAAGAGGAGTCAGATATTCCAGAGGTAGCACAATGCTGGGACAGACAAAGCAAATATGTTTGGGATCAAGAGGAAAGCCAGATGGGAGAGCTACTCAGTAACTGTCGTGATTCAGAAATCTTTAGGTTTTTTCCCATGAAAATTTTAGCAATAAAAATTAGGCTGAATCTTTACAACTTCAGGAAAGAATTATTGTCAAACAATAGGTAAGGGAAGCAACGAGGAACATGTGATTGTGTCAATGGCAGGCTATAGAGATGAGAGGCATCCCAGATTTTCTAGGGAATTAGCAAATGGATTTATTGCATGACTGCTAATTAGTTCTGAGCAGCCACAGATAGCTGTGCATGCAACAGAACAGAAGAAAAGTAAATGCAGTGCTAATTGTCATCTAAAACAGAGAAACAAATCATCCTGGGGACTACCATTCTGTTAAACACCTGGTTCCTATGGAACACTGGAATGACTATCAAAAGACAAACAAAGCACTTAATTTCCCTCACACTATGAAGGTGCTTAACAGTGTGCTCATACTTCCATGATTTTGAGGAAGAGAGCATAAAGACCAATGCCCAGAGATGGTATTGGTTCAGCCCTAAAAGACAGGAAGGCAATGGACTTGAGGTGCAATAATCAAAATGGGATTTTTCAAGAATGGTTCAGGTGTGAATTCTATTTTCCAGTGTGATTATCATCTTTAGAGATGAATAAAGAATAGATAAATCATTTTTAAAAAGTGGTCAAAGTGGGCTGGGATTCAGTTGAGCACATTTTAAAATGCATATATGAGCTAGTTATCTCAAGAAATAAGGTCAGAATTAAATGTGTGCTTAATGCTTTGGTGAGCTCAAAGGACATATGGGAATAATTGTGGATGATGAGGCCAAACATAAGTAAATACTGTACTGGAGAGAAAAATCTTGGAATAATAAACTGAATATGTGAACACAGAATTGGTAGGATTTGAAGAAAGAATCCAAATAGAAATGGATAATTGGTGTGGAAAAGCAGAAGTAAAACTTGATGCGTTTGATTATAGGTTAGTCTCTCAAGAAAGCAGAAATCTCGTCTCTGAGGTATTTAAAAATGCTCTGAAAACTGTACAACAACTTATCACATAGGAAAAAGTTTTATAGGGATGTGGACAAATTGGCTTATCTGACCCAGGCATTTCCAGTGCCAGTGGACCAGCTCTTCAGCTGTTTTAGGGCACATGGTCTCGTTGACTTGGGAGCTGAAAGACCATTTTCCCCAGGGAAGGGTCTGGTTGGAAGATGCTCAGTCTCTGGAGGTTATTTTCCTTACTAGCCTCTCAGAGCGCAGCACATGCTCTATGCAAAACTTGGGCCTATTTTAGGGTAAGACTGATTTGAGCTGAGGTGGGATCTATGTGGTTTTCTATGGCAGTTTCTACCCTGCAGACAGGTCCGTGTGTTCAGGTGGCCCATTGACTCTTAATGACTGCTGGGACACTGAGTGTTAAGGGCAGCAGCACTGCGAAGTGGCTGCAAGACCTGACGGTGCAGATTGTGACAACTGCCAGCAGCTCTCAGGTGATGTATCAGCTAAACGGAGGAAGAACGAGCCCAGAAAAATTTGGCAGTGGCAAACAGTTAAATTTAGATGACTGCCCTGTGTATTAATTCACATGCAGGCTCCAGGACTGCAAACTGGCATATCTTCAGGAAACACCCTCTTGTGATTAATTTAAAAAAAAGACAGTAGTTGTCATTATTTACCCTAAACACCCATAACTCAGAGATTATCACTGTAGGAGCTAGTAAATAGGATGCTTCCAGAAGGAGGACACTATTAGAGCTTTTCCAATTGATTCAGAACCACTAAGCTACATCTTGGGCATTTGTTTTAGTGCATCAGTGTGTCAGTGAGAGAATGCAGCTGCTGAGACAGATACAGATGTTAGACCTGATTGGGGAATTAGACCTGGGCCTGATGGAAGAAAATGTGTTTTGGAAAACCAACAAGTCCTCATTAAATAAGAAAAAGAAAGAAGAAATCAAAGTCAAATTCAAAGTCAAAGGAAAGGCAAAGGAAAAAAAAAATTAAAAAAAGGAAAAGAAAAAGGAAAGTGGAAAAAGAAAAAAAGAAAAAGAAAGACTAAAGTATCTTTTGAAACAGCAGAAGGTGTTCAGGAAAGTTCAAAATATTTAAAAGAAGATACTGAATCAAACTCATGGGTAAAAGTATATCTTCTGTCCAAAGCCCTGTTTGGAAGGAATGTAGCTCTCCAGGGAGCAAACAAGGAGTGAACCTGGCATGCTAGTAAGAATTTGGGAGTACAAGAGGATCTCTGTCTAACTGTGATTTGTTAAAACCATTTGGTCTCAAGCAAGGCTAGGCAGTAAGAAATGCCAGCAGCACTTTTGCAGCTTCTCATATAACCTGCTCTTTCTAGACAAAGCAAAAAGGAGCATAAAAGACATAATGCTGCCAGAGTACAGTAAATCTGAAAGAATTTGGTGTGTGAAGGGACTGAAGCTCCCATCATTGCTCACACCAAACCCACTATCAGGATGTTGCAGTTTGGAGTTTTCCTGGTTTTTAGCTGAGACAGAGCTGGGTTTCTTTTCAGTAGCTAGAACAGTGCTCTTCTGGGATTGTGGTTTCGGTTCGGGATTGTTGCTCCTCCGGGATTGTTATCTGGGAACGGGCCGGGTAATATCAGTATTATTTTAAGTTTTCTATTAAAGATGATTAAGGAAGTGGAGCATCTCCCTTATGAGGAAAGGCTGAGGGAGCTGGGTCTCTTTAGCTTGGAGAAGAGGAGACTGAGGGGTGACCTCATTAATGTTTATAAATATGTAAAGGGCAAATGTCAGGAGGATGGAGCCAGGCTCTTCTCAGTGATGCCCAATGGTAGGACAAGGAGCAATGGGTATAAGCTGGAACACAGGAGGTTCCGCTTAAATTTCAGAAGGAACTTCATTACTGTAAGGGTAACAGAGCACTGGAACAGGCTGCCCAGGGAGGTTGTGGAGTCTCCTTCTCTGGAGACATTCAAAACCCGCCTGGATGCCTTTCTTTCATTTAGGTTCCTGCTCCAGCAGGGGGATTGGACTAGATGGTCTTTTGAGGTCCCTTCCAATCCCTGACATTCTGTGATTCTGTGATTTACATTATTAAATTGTTCTTATCTCAACCAACAAGTCTCCTTACCCTTGCCCCCAATTCTCTCCTCTATCCCCTGGGGGTCTGGAGTGAGCAAACTGCTGTGTTTGGCTGCAGCCAAGTGCCAGCCAAGGGAAACCATCACAAGGGTGTATGTTGAAGTTGCTGTGTCGGAAAGTGATCCAGTTTTAAGTTGACTCTGTTTTATGGGTGGTGCAATAAATTGTACTGCCATGTAGCTGACACGGAAATAGAAGTTAATTTGCACTTTCTCCTCCATATTAAGGAATGGACTATGGGAGGAATAAAGCCGATAACTCCTGAGAAATTGTTAACTCTGTCAACATGGGTTGCTTCTGTTTGTGAAGATAGTACAAAAGACTAAGGAGGCAAAGGGCACATGGCACACGGTGTTGCCGAGGGCACCTCAGGGCGGGACTTGTGCAGCTCCACTAACCGGGCTGTGACTCCATCCTTGATGTTCTGCCCCGTCTCTACCTGCAGGGGATTTTTGTGAGGATGCATGAGTGAGTTTGGTTGATCTGCAGTGATAGCCTGTAGAAAGGATGCATTTTATTCACTTGTTCAATTGCTGGGGTTCAAATGCCTCTTTCCTTTGAAACAGGGTTAGGGAGCCTCTGATATGGCAAAGTGGTGAAGTCAGTCCCCAGTTCAATTACTGATGCAGTTTTGGCTGTTGGATGAATGTGGAAAATACCTGCTGTAGCAAATGTGAGGGCTTTGGTTTCCCTAGTTCATCCTATTATTCAATAACCTCTAGGAAAGTTGAAGCCTCATATTTATCTGTGACAGGACCAGGAACCCTCTGAAGCTAAAATACTTTAAATTAGGATCACGAGCACTGAAGAAAAGCAAAAATGGTACTGACTTCACCTCAGGAAATTTCTTTCCATTTCCCTGTCTAGAAGGTATTTTGCACCTTGCCTCACAGTTATGTAGGAAAGTATATTTTTCATAGAAGCCTTGAAAATCATATTAGGCAAGTGATGTATGGTTCAAGTCAAGGCACTTTTTGGGTTGCTCCAGTCATAAATACCCAGCCAAAATAGCTGTACAAGAGCATCAGAAGAGCCCATCTCTTATGGGAAGCCTTTAGAGTATAAAGTAAATGCAACTGGATCTCTGCTGTGCACTCTTTCTTCTTCTAACAGGGGGTTGGAGAGGGCAGATGGCTAAAAGCAAGGCCTGGCTAGCAGAACCTTTCAGTGTGCTGTGGGTTGGTATCAGTAAGAAGAGGCTCTGCCTGGCCAGGCGTGGGACCCTGGGCTGTTTGGAGGGCTGGTGCTAGCAGAGAGCAGTAGGCTGGCAGTCTTTCTGCACCTCTGCCCCTCTCTGCGTGAGCCCTTCCAGAGCTATTTCTGAGACAGCCTGGGGTGACTCAGGCTGAAAAATTTCTGACTCCCAGGATCCTATTTTGGCAGCAGAGTTCCCTGGTGTCTGGTCTACACAGAGCAGTCCTGAGCTAGGAGGCCTTCAGAGCGATCTAGCCATGTCAACTCAGCAATGCATAGGGCTGATTGGCCCTGTTGACCGTGGGAGCTAATTACCCTTATGCTAAAACAGCCGTGGCATAGGCAGTCCTCGAGAGAGCTCATCACGGCAGCTTGGGCCTTTGTGTGGTGGACACAGGCCATGAAGAGTCGTCTCTGCTTTCCCCTGTTCGGCAGAGCTAAGCAGCAGCAAGCTCCAGAGCACTTCTGACCGTGCCAAGTTTTCGTGCTCCTAATGACACAATCAGTCTAATGCAAAGATGAGCCAGTTTCTTCCAGTACTTGTTTTAGCTGAAATTCAGCTCACAGTGCAAGTCTGGAGTCGTTTCAGATGAAACCAAGTATGTGAAATAATATGTCTGGCCCTCATTCCAAAGCTGGGAATTGCATGAAACCAAATATTAATTTATTTAATCAATAGAGATATCAAGAGCTGAAAAGCTAGGTGCAGAGATGAATGAAGACTAATGAGGTCTCATTTGGCAGCAATCACTAGTAATGCCATTGCTGTGGGAGGAAGGAGAGCACATCTTGCTGTCAGACACACAGGGATAAATCAGGAGGAGGTCTTTTGAAGCCTGTGGATTCATTTTGATTTATACTGGTGTGGCCAAAGGCACAGTTTAGCTCTATGAAGCTGTAAAATGGTAAATACAAGTCCAAAATAGGCCCCTGGATAAGTGAGTCTTTTTCTTTTTTTTTTTTTTTTCCTTTTTGCAGATTAATAGCTTGGAAGGAAAGAAGGAGCCTTGATCATGTAAAAATAAGCAATGAAATCTGAAGGAATTGTTTTCTGACATCCTTTCTTAGTTCTTAATTTTTCATCTCTATATAGATTTTCATATCTATATGTAGATACCTGTATATATATATATATATATCTTTTCATACCCATATGTTATCTGTGCTCATCATAGCAGTATCTGATACTCTAGCCATGTAAAAATCGTATTGTTTCAACACAAGCACACTAACTCTTTCTCTCTCCACTTTTTCCAGATTTGTCACCTTGCTGTAGACTGAAGCAAACTTGGTGCTGACCATAAGCCTTTGAATAACAGTGTCAATACTTTAAACAATTCAGAGTCTTTAAAAACAGTCAAAAATCAGAAAAGGAGGATGGTTATAGACAGGCAGGTCATGATGGCAGACATCACTGGTCTGATTTCCTTTAGCTTGTTCCTCAAGGAGCTACAGAAAATTGAATGCAAAATACTACCAAGTAGATGGGATGAGCTTAGGGAACCATTTTACACTTATCTAGGTTCATTTGTAGGTTCTTGGGGTATAAGGGATCCAAAAATAGGACTCTTCATGGTTGGATTTAATGAGCTGTCCCTCTACCCTTCTAAATCTGGAGCAGCTTCTCTACAGTCCACAGAATTAACCTGTGATCAAGCTGTGGTAAACAAGAAGATACTCTGAGATTGGTAGAAAACAAAAATTTAAATGTCAGTTTTCAAGAGAAATTGGCTATTTAATTTGATTGTGAATTTCAGCTTCCAACTGACTTGATCACAGGCAGAAGCATGATCAGAAACTTCCTTTCTTTCCTCACCTCAGATGTCAATATAACCTTGCTTTGCCTTGACGTTGTAGGAGTCCCTGGAAAGATCACTGCAGATTTTCTAATGCTACCTCAACTGCAGATGAGGACTGGTGCAGCAGATCTCTTTGAAACAGGTAAATATATTGACAGCCCCTTAAAACAGAAAATTCTTCCCTAACAAATGTGACACTGGTCAAAAGCATTTGGGAGCAGAAGTGAAATTAAGGTGGATAAATTCACTGCCAGAAAGAAGGTAAAGGCACTTAGGGAAACTTCCCGTGTTTCACCACGGTCTGCAGATATACAGATGTATCCACTTTGGCAGATACCCTCCTGGTGCAGTTCTTACCTTCCCGACGTAGAGAGGGTCAGTTCCTGTGTACTCCTCCAGAACGAAGAACTGGTTCCACACCCAGCTCCGCTTCATACGCTGATGCAGCTTGTCCGACAGGTTGTCTTCTTGCCCTTCAGTGAGGGGCCTGGCACTTCCTGACAGCACAGTTGTAGTAAGGTCCATCAGTCCCCAAAAATACAAGGAGACACCAAGTCCAAGCAAGCTCTTTGCATTGCTCATTCTACCTGAAGTCCACATCTGTATACCAGGGCTGACTTAAAAGTCAAAACGTAGTATCTTGGATCCCTTGAGAAGAAAGTAGGTCTTGTGTGTAGTCCTTTGAAATGTCCAAAAGAGATCCTGGTTCTGAGAATGGCAATCTCCTGTAAAGTTAAAGGAAATTCATAGGAGGATGTTTTTTCCCCCAAGGTAAAAGAGTTTCCTCCATAGGCAATATGCTATAAAATATTTAATCTTTTACATAAAAATATGTAAAAGGGGGCACATCTTCTGAAACTAGGAGTACTATTACTGTATAAGCTGCAGAACTGGAGCCTTAGATATAAGAATCGTCAGGGTTTAGTCAATAAGTAAGAGTTCTCTACTTTGCTAACTTAGCTGTAGTGTTGCTTCATGGTATTGATTGGCATGAGTTAACTGCATACTCTTTAGAAATATTTATGATCAGAAGTCCTTAGAGAATACTTAAAAGCAGTTCACTGGAAAATTGTAATAGCTGGTGAATACTTTTTGGCAACTGCCTTTCTGTTTGGAAACTATGTCACTGTCATTACACACGTGTGCACGCACACGTATCTACAGAAATACAGATATTATTGCTATATTGAAAACCTTGATTGTAATTTCTAGTGGCTCCAAGTTATTTCTAATTTTAAGTATTCTCTCAACCTCCCCATTGCTTGAATTCAGGTTTCACACCCTGCTGCCTCCTCTCTGAGGAGCTGATGGCTGCTACAAATGTAACATTTCTAGAATTTGAATGGTCAGTTAATCATTTTATAACCCACAAAAGGTTTCACAGTGCTGACAGTCACATGCTATTGTGTGATATGTCCAAGGAAGTCAAGCTAACGCATTTTTTCCTCCACAAGCCTGAAAGACCCGTTTAGGCAGAGGAATGCTGACCTCTACCAGAGGACACTTTCTCATCAGTCTAGGATCCTTTGCTGTCACAAAGTCAGTTTAGTTGGTGACCTCACTCCAGGCTATGGATTGCAGCAAACCTTTCCTTCACTATTTTGCTGAGTTTAATGATGTGATGCTGCCCTCAAGTTACTCTGTCAAAACAGTCCATATATCCTCTGTGCACCTAGTATTTTTGCTGTTCTTTTTAAGAGCTCTTATTTCTCTTTTCAGGACAGACTTATTAGGAAAGGCATATGGGGCTCTGAGGCTTAAGCAATTAATTCACACTTAATTTTACTGCTGTTCTATACTTAAGTCTTTAGGCTTAATTAATTGTTTTATCCAGTGGAAATAAAATGTAGCAGGTGATGTCTGTCAAATATTTCTAATTGAAGTTCTTGAAAAAATTCAAAATAATGAAAAATACTTTAAAGAGATGCATTATGCTATTTTGAAGTGAAGATTGAGACAATGCAATGTTTTTGACAGAGAAGAATAAAGTGTTTTAAAATTCCCCAGGATCCAAACTGGCACAACTGGAGGACTGGGTACACATAGAAATCTACTGAAACAGAAATTCAGAATTTAATCCAAAAGTTGGCTGAAATCTGAAAAAGGCAGCTTAAGTCTGGCGTAGATGTCCACAGGGGAAGTAAAGATAAAATAAATATCTAAGACTAATTTCTACACAAAATAATGTTTCCAAGTATAATGGCCAGAAGGAATATGACTACACAGTGCTGATAGTCTATACAGTTGTGAAGTGTAGCAAACAATTAACAGGTTCTTTACCTTGAAAAGTTTATCTTTAAACTTTTAAAGATTCAACAGCTACAACAAAGAAAGGCCAAACCGTACACACAGAACATGGTAAATCTCTTCTAAGCAGAGCAATGTAGAGGACTGCTGGTTGTTTAGACATTGGCTATGTTATGTGCTAGGGCTTATTGTCTGCAAAGCCAAAGAATGGGTATTGATCTAAGCAGTATAAGCCCAGAAGGACCACAGTCATCTCTGTGTGTCTGTCACTTCATGAAGAAGCTGGCAGCTGTTTGCAAGAGGCAGGGATGAGGCTCAGCTTGCTCACAGTCTAAGGAGTCCAAGACCTGTGTGTGCAGTGCTTGCCTCTGTCCCATGAAACCTTAGCTCCCACCAGCCAACATACATTTACACAGGGGAAAGGAGACTGAAGTCATCTTCACACAAGGTATGCCCACCTTACTCTGGACATGAGCTGACAATGTGTGCTCACAGCTCAGAAAGTCAACTGTATCCTGGGCTACTTCAAAGGAAGAGTGGCCAGCAGGTTGAGGGAGATGATTCTGCCCCTCTACTCTGCTCTAGTGAGACCCCACCTGGAGTACTGCGTCCAGTTCTGGAGCCCCCAACACAAGAGAGACCTGGACCTGTTGGAGTGGGTCCAGAGGAGGCCACAAGAATGACCAGAGGTATGGAACACCCATATTTTGCCAGTGAGTAAATGTGAGGAAGGGTCTCCCACCACTCCTCAACATGACTTGAGGGAACCCAGCACTACCTCTGCCATGCAACAGGAAGGGAAAGCAGAGGCAGGCAGCTGCTCAGGTCCCACCTGGAGTTTGTACTTTAAGAAATTCCATCTACTGTACAAGTCAGTTACATATTTGCCCATGTGACAAAAGAGGTGATACAACATGATGGACCAATTCCTGTAGCAATAAGAATTGTGTTTGTAGGTGAACTCCCAAACTACAAATTCAAAACCAGATGTCTCCTGGAATTAAGCACAGCCAACAAGGATCAACAGTGCTCAAGCAGGGTAGTATCAAGACACGGTTAAATAAACTTAGGGAGTTACCAGTATACCTGTAATGAGGCAATAGCAAAAGGAATCTGATCATCAGGATGCGTTTCCTGCACGTGTGCATTACATCAGCAGAAAGTAAAGTAAGTAGAAGCAGTGAAATAAAGGTCAAGAGCAGGGAACATATATGCTTCAGGCTCTCTGTGATAACAGCTTTTGTCATCTGAACGTCACTCAGCATTGCAGTGCAGTTCCATGGAGAACTTCTTTTGAAAATAGTGTGCAATTCAGTGGCCCTCAGAAGCAACATGCCTAAGAGCACTTCTTATGCAATCTAATCAGGAAACTTGCCATTAAGAGATGTAAAGTCTTGTAAAAGGATGTTCTGTCCCTGAGTACCAGTAATTTCTCCATTTAATACCAGTCTACGGTGACATAGTCATATATTTTTGTGGGAATGGAAGAAAGCATTAGTGGTGAGGTGGCATACAATTTTTTTTATGTTAATATCAGGTTTTCTGGCATCTCATGCCTTTCAAAAACTGTAAGCAAGCAGGTTCAAACTTTTCATATTTTGCTTCTTGCCTAAAGGCAAATTACTACCAATAATAACAGTGTTTAATCAAGAATGGTTCCTCTGTCTCTGAGGCTGAAGGAGAATGATTTTATTTTATTTTATTTTATTTTTTTTCCCTGTCTCATGTCCTTGGCTGGTGTTAAAAGAACAAAAACCACCTTTGTTAACTTCTGGCCTGTGATGCTGCTGATCTCCTTGGGGCTCCTTTCCTGCAGCTTCAGCAGCTCCAGGTGTGCAATGTTGGCCTCTGGATCTGCAAGGGCTACCGGTCAAGCAAGTTATTTCTCACCAGTATAGACAGCACTCATGTACTCATGTACATTTAGGGTTTGAATTGTGTGGTGGCACAAGTAACAGCTGAGCTACAGTTAAGGTCACGGACAACCGAGTCTTTCAGAGGATTCGTGCAGATGGCTTCTTCAGCAGCTGAGTGTGATGGATGAGTATGGAGTCACTTAGACTGTAGACACAACAGTTGGTTAGGATGATAGCCATATGCTTTGACTGTGCTAGCTTGGTGGGATCTCTAGCCTCAAGTGGAGGCTTGCTGCAGATGGATGACACAGGCTGTGAGACAGAGTCTGTTCTGCCTCAGGCTGGGTAGTTCCTTGTAGGGATATCAGGGGGACCAGTCATACAGGAAGGCACTTGTTGGCACAACTAAGTGAGGCAGAACTGCACCTTTAATGTTCTCTTAATGCAAGTTGTTTCTTGGAGCCCTCCAAAACGCTTTTTTAAGGACCTCTGCAAAGATGGAATTGATGAGCCTCTGCTTGTCATATGAAATATATTATAGAAATACACTTCATGTCTCAGCATGGGGATGTGCAAAGGATTTGAAGGCAGGAAAGGGAGGCATATCTTGTTTTCCTTGCTCACATAAAAAATCATTGAGCCCAGGAAGACTGCATGACCAAAACCTGTGGGATTTCTGCAGCGGGTATTTTAATTTTCAAGAACAATTTAAATGTTTCAGAACCCAGTTCATTACCCAGAGTTGAATTACCCCATTGTAATAGCCTGAGCTGCATCTGTGCAGTTTAGATCCCTGACCCAAAGTGAATGCCTTTCTTGCCCCTGCTTTTCTGATGAATATTTGATTACTAGCTCAGTTGCTTAGGTTACTTTCTCTGTTCTTGACTTGCAGACATTGCTGAAAATCCTTTTTATTGTCACTCAACAGTTACAAATATGTCTTTTGGCTTCATAAAGACCCATGAAGATCTGATTGAACTCTGTGCAACTGGTGGTCTATACATGGTACAAAGGAAGTACCTAATTGTTCTATACAAAAGAGTCACAATAATGCACTTTCCACCATTGCAAATACAAATTTCTCTTTTAGCCCATATTATGAATTAAAGAATGCATAATCCAAATGTGAGCTACTTTTCATGCTGCAATTTTAAAGACCCCCCCC